GATAGATAGATAGATAGATAGATAGATAGATAGATAGGTAGATAGATAGATAGTGAGTGAGTGAGCATGTGTCAATGAAAAAAACACCAACATGTTCCAAAATATATGCTTAATCTATTCCCTGCTTAACATCTGGTAATGGGAGGCGAGTTCGGTTGTCTACCATAAGTGGTACACATATGCGAAACACAATCATATCTATCATTACACGTAGTCTGATTTGCATATACCAAGCACATGTATCACCGCCAGATGTGAGTCATGCGGTGGCATTTTTTATTAAAAGCAGCACGTTTAGTTGCAAGTGGGGTCCAGATGAAAATAGCTTCATGTCAGGTAACTCAGCCGCTTAGACTATCTCCAACTGAAAATGTTCCCAACTCTCTAGATATTTGTGTATGTTATGTTTTCTGCTTTGCATTGTATAGAGCCGGCTCCAAACTACGTTCATTAGGCCCTCTACAAGAATTGTTAATTAATTGATAGCACGTTTCTTAGTATATGTGATGTTCCTAGAGGGGCGAGCTGCTGGGCAACTTGTATGTTGTATGTTATCTGGGACACTATTATTATTATTATTATTATTATTATTATTATTTGTGTGGGTGTTATGTTTCCTGCTTTGTATCCTGTAGAGCCTCGTCCAAACTATGGTCCTTGGACGCTATAGGAAAACTGTTATTTAATTTATAGCACTTTTCTTAGTATATAGAATGTTCATTGTAGGGTCATCTTCTGAGTAACTTTTATGTTGATGTAACCTGGAACACTGTTAGTAAAATTGTCCATTTCTTTTCTAACGAGGTCCATAGCTCCGATTTTTATTGGTACAGTCTCAGTCTTCATTCCCCACATCCTGTTAATCTCGATCTGCAGCTCCTTACATTTGGACAATTTCTCGATAATTTTCATAGAGGTGTTTCTCTCAGATGCTACTGAGATGTCAATAACCATACAGTTCCAGAATTTATTGTCTTTTATGATAATATCAGTTCTGTTGGATTTTATTTCCCTGTCAATTTGAATTGGCATGTCCCAGAGGATAGTTACATCGTTATTCTGTGTAACTGTGACGGGCTGGTGCTCATATCATCTCTCGGTGGTCTCGATTTTGTGTTTCTTGCATATCTTCCAGTGCACATATGTCGCTACCATGTCAGTTTTTGCTAATTTCGGACATTCTGAGATAATATGGGCGACAGTTTCATCATATTTTCCGCAGATCAAGCATTTCGAGTTAGTTCCATCCTTGATTATACGACAGTGATAGAATCTGGTTGAGAGGCTTTGGTCCAGAGCTGCATTAAATTGGCCTTCTGTCTTAGCTTTCAACCCAGTGTTCCTCAGCCACTGATGTGTTTTCTGTTCGTTCACATCTGCTTCTTTTTTACTTTTTAGGTATTTGCTATGAAACGCATTGTCTCCCCCCCCCCCTTTTTTTTTAGTAATTTCATTTGGACAAATTGTTTTGCTTTCTGCTTTACTCGTTTGGCGTAAATGGTATTCATTTCGTTTTTTTTTTTTTTTTTTGGTAGGGTTTCAGGTGTATTAAGCTGTTTCTTGAAGAGTGCAGAGTGAAGAGTTCTTTGTTGATGGATTTGGTATTTTACTATTTGTAGGAGAGGGTCATTGATTTTGTGAGGTATGCTTCTAATCCGATTGTCATAGTTTTTAAAGTTAGTTCAAATTGGATTAGACCCCGGCCTCCTAAAACTCTTGACAGCCTATCAACATTTGATTTCGGGTGGCGCATCCTCATTTGTGTAAGCATTTTTTTTTTTGATCTGGGTGTCTTTTAATGTCATTAAACTTCTATTTAATAATTTATTATTATTATTATTATTATTATTATTATTAATATTATTATTATTATACCGCTTAGGAAAGAGCGCGGTTTAAGAAAAGAAAAAGAAAAGAAAAACAGTGTTTAAAAATGTTTTACAATACTTCAGCAGTAAGTATCTCTAGACGATACGTTTAAAAATTGCATACAGTTATAAAAATATATAAAAGTACAACTCTTGTCATGAGAAAGATCGTTGAAATGGTAATTAGCGAAACAAAAAACAGCCAGCGTGAATGGAATGCAACTGAAACGTGAGTAACATGATGGTGATCGTGCTCACCTTGAAATTTTCCGTTAGTTGATTAGTAAGTGCAATTAATCTAATAGTTTGATATAAATCCTATGGAACTCTTCTGTCATTTTGTTCATTCCCCCGAGGCAGGACATTACTAGTTTGCATATGTCAGTCAGTTATGTGCCATGTATGATACGCGCTTGAGTGATCATATATCTTTCGATACATGACTGACGAGGCAGATTTTTTTCCCGCAGTAGGTTGCCATTTCTTTCTGCGATAGACCAGTTTGCCATCCAAAGCTATAGAATCCGGTCTGTCTTGCTATTTACCCATAGCTGGTGGTGGAGGAAGAAGAGGATTCATATCTTTCCCAAGGGTATTAGCACCTAAGTGAATGTAATGGATTCGACGAGAATTCGAACTCGGCTCTCCGATTCCTCAATCCGAGCCTCTATCCATTGTATATGTAATTATCTTAATGTGTTTTAATGGTTGAATGGTCGCTGGAATCTGGAGATTTTTTTCATAATGTTTGTACAAATACTTGTAATTTTTATATTTTTTTTTATATTTGTATGCATTTTTAAACATAACACTCACTTGTCACTCCTACCCAGTCTTTTGAACAGGAGTAGAGGTTTATCCCTTGTTTTATGTTTAGGATTGAGGTTCCTGTACTTTCTAAAGTCTTTTCATTCTCTTTCACTCGCAGAAGTCCCTTGCGTATTAGGGGCATTATTGCCTTACTTGAGGTCAATTGATTTAAAATAGCTTAAATGAGAGAGATATACTGTTGAAATATTGTTAAACCTTATGTCTTTTTCTTTTTTAATAGTGCCCTTCTTTAAGTGTCGCAAAATATTGGAAGGGTTACGTCATTCATTTTGTTTTATTATTATTATAATTATTATTAGTAGTAGTAGTATTAGTATTATTATTATTATTATTATTCCTCTCTATTTTTACGTTTAGTATTTTGTATGCTTAACTGTAACAGTACTGATAGTATAATTATTGTTAATCTTTACAAAATAGCAAAATAAACTGAAATTTAAATTTTATTTAGCCAATTAATCCTTTCAAGGTTCCATAGTCAGCACATTTATAATTTGTTGTTAATTTTCATAGGTGACGATAACTGTTCCATTCTTCAATAGAGGAAGCTGTTCAGCGAATTAAGAAAATTCGAGCAGACTGAGAAAATCCTTTTATTTAATCAGTAACATCGTTTCTGCGGGAAGAGATTCGAATTCCAAGATCATTATTTGTGGCCAACCGTGCGAGACAATTCATGAGAAGTTACTCATGTTTCTCCGTATATCGTCTTTCGATTTCCTCCAACTTTTCCTAATCATTTTCCATTTACATCCTCGCTACTTTTACATATTAAACGGAAAGTCTCGTTTGGTTGGACAGTAGAATTTTGTCTCTCCTTGATTAATTGAAGAATACAGAAATACGTGAATGGTTTAAAGCAACCGTTGGGAGAGATATCTGATTAAAATGGCGCTGTAAATCAGCCTGACTTAAACAATATAACAACTGTATTTCCCTGTCAAGTGTATTAATATAAGAGTTATCGTATAAATCGTGTGTTCTACAGAAAGTGTTTACTTAAACAGTAGGTTCTTTTGTAAAATCGGGATTAAAAGATGCACAATAATGTGTTCAAGGAAACTGCATAAATTACGAATTTTACAAAGGAGAGATATATGCAGTTGAACTTACTTGCAATTCTTCTCCAATATTTACATCTCTATACTTCAAATCTGCGTAAGAATTGCGCTCTTCTTCCACGAGGAGATCTTGTCATTAGAAAAAAAAAACTTCTTCTGTAGTGTCGTTTTCTCTAGTTGCTTTATATTCTAATGATGAGGCAAACGGCTTATGAGGTGCTGACATAATCTTCTTCCGATCCTTCTTCACAATATTTATTTTATTCCTCAAACTTTCACAACAGTAATTAATTTTTACTAGAAACCAATTCACAGCAAGTTTCACCAGTATTCTATTCCTGGGTATGACGATAAACAACATCCAGCAGCAAGGCCTCTGATCTGGAGACTGGTAGTTTTTGAGCAGCATGAAACCACCTATTAACTGCTGTTTTTCCCTTGTCCACTCTGACACGGTGTGTTAGCACCTGTCAGGGTCGCAGCATGAGTAAATAGGGAACCTCCAAACGAAAACAAAAAAAAAACTATGAAAATATAAAAATACATTTTTATAGTAAAATGACCAACAATTTCCAATTATAGCAAAATAAGCAACACAACTTTTTATCTGTAGTTGAAAGCATGCAATTGCGTTCAAAATATATTTAGCTGAAGCCATGAAATTGTGTTAAAAATATTTAGATTTCGGCATTAAAAATACCCATACAAGTTGATATGCCGCTAAACGAAATCAACCAATCCTCACTATTGATTTTGATAACACTGTCGTCTGAATGGTTTACGAAAAATCAACCAATCCTCACTACATGCATAATTGGTGAGCAAAATTGTCACCTGCATTAATCTTTTCTTACAAGGTGTAGATATTTCTAGGTTTTTACTTCTTTTATTTATTTTAAATTTTGATCTACAGTTCTCTGTAACATTGAAATGTTTTCACTCTCTGAAATTCACAGTGCCTGCATTTGAGTCTCTCCTAGAACTGGACGATCTCTTCATCTCTGTGAAAATCCTTTCTTGAGCGTAGACCTTTCCCAGAATCATGGTGAGGGATGAGCCATTACCCTACCGCGCTAGCCCAATGCCGTTTGGTAGGGGCGGATCTAACAAGCTTGGGTGATCATGTCTCTTTTTGATTCATGATCACACAAGAGTATTTGATTGTAAGTGAATGTAACGAACCCGACTGGATCTCGAAATAGGTTCTCCAATTTCTCATTAGATCACCCGCGCATCCAAGCTTACAGCACCTGGTATTCACAAGAGGTCACCCATCTAGGTACATACCAGACTCGATGTTGCTTAACTTTAGTGATTGGTAGAGAACCGGTGTTTCAACGGGATATGACTGTGAACGCTGGTCTGTTCAAAATCCTACCAAAAGGTTGTTTTTATCGTTTATATCATATTCAGGATTGTGTATATATACCTTGGCTTGCATGAACAGACCCTCATTTTTTACACAGTTCCATCATCATTAGCAATATCATTACATATACACCACCGATTTCCCGGTAATACGTTGATAATTAAATCAATAATCCGGGCACTATTATGAATAATTACAAGCTATAGTCGTATTTAAAAATTGTTTATGTGAAGATGATCAGGCAAAGTGAAAAATTTTTTATCAAAGACGCAGAGAAAGTGTATGCTCTCTTTGGCTTCTTCAGTTTGAATAAAAGAAAGATAAGTGTGCGAGGAAAAATGTCTTGGGATATCTGAGGATAAGTTGGTATCATAAATCAAATTAATTGCCCTAGCTTATCACCTGCTTTCAGATTTGAAGAGAATCTGTCCGCCTATGATGCTTATTCGTTTTATCTATATCTGTATCGAATCCTCAGAAATCTCAAGTCATTTTCCTCACACACAGATTTGTCTTTCTTTTATTCAAACTCATATAGCCAAAGAGAGCATACTCGTTCTCTGGCGAAACGCGTCTTTGCTAAAAAAAAAAAAAAAAAATGACCACTTTGCCTTGTGAAACATTTGCATTCGATCGGCCAAGATGGAGACGAATGAAATGAAAGAATTTGAGATCAAATGAAGCCCAACTGCAGAAAGCAGAAGAAAAACATTAGTCATTTATGTGTCATGCGTGATACGCGCTTAGGCAATCATGTATCTTTCGATACATGACTGACGAGGCAGATTTTTTTTTTCGCGCAGTAGGTTAAAACATACAATTAACAAAAAGAATGAATCAATAACCCGAACATCATTCGGCAACGTTAAGAACACACCCTTCAGGGATTGGACACCATAACCATCAGAGAAAACATCTTGGAACTCTGGTCACTGAAGAGTATCGCCAATGGTGATGCCCCATTCCTTGAGCTTCGTAGCAGACAATGGTAAATATAGTAAATATCGAATCCATTCCTAAATCAGCTGCTAAGAAAGTCGGTTCATTGTGACGGGCAAGACAATTCTCTTCTTTAGAATATTGCAGCCATATATGGCCCGGTTCTCTTGCGATTTCCTGGAGTTCCTTGGTAAGATCCAAAGAAGAATCAGCAATATCATTGGTTCTGATCTGGCAGCTCAGCTCCAATCACTTGCCCACCGCAGTAACGTTACCGCTTTGTGCCTTTTTTGTAAATACTTTCATGGTAATTGGTCGAATGAGCTCTTTGCTATGGTTCCTAGACTGTATGAATTTGAGCGCAATGCGAGACTGGTGGCGAGATCGCATCAATTTACAGTTTTACTCTAGCTAGCTGTAACGTCTACGCTAACAGTTTCTTTTCTCGCATCTCTCGCTTGTGGAACTCCCTTCCGGTTCCATGCTTTCCTGCCAAATTTATTCTGCAAGAATTTAACTGCAATGCCAATCGTTATCTACTCTTCTTTTGAATGCTCTTTTCTCTTTCTACTAATTCCTAATGTTTCTGTTCCTAATTCCTCGATACGCTGTAATCCCTTTTGTCTTAGTGGCTGTACTGCCTTGCTTGGGGTGACACTGATTGAAAAATAAATAAATAAACGTTTGGAGCAGCGACACCCGAACGGAGCAGCGAGGAGCGAACAGCTGGCGCCGCGGCGAGGACGTCACAATTAGTGCTGTTTAGGGACGTCACAACTGGTGCCGTGGTAGACCAGAATAGAACGTCACAGTTGACGCTGCGACCAGGGACGACGTCACACAATTATTTATACTGTATTTACAGTATACAAAACTTACAGTATATATAAGTTAATTTGACTACAGTAAATGGATATATAGTTTGGTCAACAGCGTAGCAAGGGCCAGCAGTACATACGTTAATTTAATATATCATGTATGATGCGACCCTCTTAAAATTACCTTCAAAATTAGGTCTTGAAATGTCGCATTATATGCGCGTATATACGCTACTTTGGAATTTGTTTATTACATTTACCGTTCAGCATACTATGTACCGTAGACATATTTTATGCATGGTGTTCCAGAATGAACTATTTCAATGAAATCACACAATTTCGTTTAAAAACTCTTTTATTTTTATCCATCATGTTCAATATGTGCTAGAAATGTATCAATTTCTAATTTTGTTTATAACGTTATTATTTTTCTTAATTTCATTTTCCTTTCCTTTCAGAACGCTATTAATAATGAATACACAAGAACCCATCTTTGTTGATGCCCCTGGATTTCTTTGCACGGAGCTTTAATAAAAACAAAGGTTTATCTCCAAAAGATCAATAGTTTAGCTGAACTTAAATATGGCATTTAGTTAGCAGTGCAGAAGATAACTCCTGAAATAGTTCAAAATGTGTTTCGTAACGTTAAATTTGAAATTTGAAGGGATACAGACGTAGCTCATGTTGAAAATTTTCAATAAAGTTTTGACGTAGAATTTATAAATCTATTTGTTTTGTATCATAACTAAGTAGTAAACATCATATGGTGTGATTTTTAACACCCTGTATATTAATGTTTACTCAATACAAGGCTCAAGAGTCACTCAGGGTAGAAGGTTAATGTGTGGTGTTGCATGAGCATAAGAAAAGGTAAGAAGAACTGCTTATATAGGAAAAATAAAGTTTAACCTTAGACTTGAAGAGATCAAGATTATAGTGATCAGGAAAACTTCCTGCTAAAAGTCTGTTCCAAAAAGCAGTAGTTCTTGAGAAGGAGCTGAATGGAACTTACTTCTTACAAGTATAATACGAAGGTAATGAGATTAAGTCATCCTTTTGTACGTGGTATGGCGGGACTCAGCTGCAAATGTCAGGTCTTCTGGAACCAAGAAATGCAGAACATTTACCATGGAAATAGCAATAGAGTAGCTAGAATCTTGTGATGTTTCACCTTTGGGAAATGGATTTTGGGGTGGAAAATAATTAATCACTCAAAAGGTAGCGTAGATGCTTTTAAACTCTATCAGGAGAGGAAAATGAGTAATAGGCAACTCCAGCCCGGAATATGGTAGCAATAACCCGTAAATAGTTTGATTTCGATATTGTAAAGATAGAGCACAGTAAGAGTGAATAAATTAGCAACGTTACAAATCGTTCAAAAATTACATAAAAAGACTACTTGAAGTTAGTTGAGACAAACATATTACACTCGTAATGTGCCAGAAAAAAGAGGTCATGTAAAACGTCTCGCTTAACGACCAGATCAATTAGCGATCAAGTAGCTGGTACTGAACCCGGTCGTTAACCCTAGAACACTAACCATTATTTAAAGTTACACCACTACTAACCATGAGTGTATTATACCCGATTTTGAAAATATAAAAAAAATCTCTGTCTATAAAAGGCAGGATGTGTGTGTATGTGTGTGTAACGAATGCACGGCCGCAATTTTCGACGGATTTGCACCAACATTTACATGCGCATGCTCCATGTTAATGGGAAGGCCAAGACTGACTTTGCATTTCCCAACTCCCATCGATAGTGGAAATAATCCATTTTCCATGCTTCTACGGCAGTTTTCATGTAGTTTGCGGCCATTTTCTACTGGCCAGAGTGAGAGCCTATAGCTGGCTGCCACAAATAGGCAGGAAGATTCTATTGGCCAGCGTGAGAGCCAACAGCTGACTGACACGAATGTTAACTTTACATGTAGGCACTTCAAACTTTCTACTTTGAGTTAACATTAATAGGAACTGAAAAACATTAATTAGGTAAGAAAATCAGGTATTGAAAATTATAATTAAAAATAGGAAAATTTGCGCTGGGTACTATATAGCCATGGTTAGTGTTCTAGGATGTTTAACTAGTGCAGTGCGTTTTCTTGTAACATACTTTCGTAATCTGAAGGCAAAGTAAGTTACGAAAAATTTTAATGAAGCTTAACAGGATTATTGAATACATTGTGCACATGAGGGCTGTGGGAAATCAAACTACAGGAATAGTCCAATTAATAAATACGTATATATTGATAAAACTTCTTATACTATAGTTTACTCAATACAAGGCTCAATTAGAGGTTAACTATATGATGCGCATGATATAGTCGTAGGAGGGGGTAGCAGGAAGTGAAGTCTATGAGGATAAGGATAGCTAGCAATTAATCTTTGACTTGAAAAGGTTAGCATTCGGGGAAGCATCCACGCCGGAATATGTTATCCAATATAGAAAAAGGTGTCTGTATGTAGCTTCCTCCTTAGAAATAAAATACGGAGGAAATATGGGTGATTCTATGCCGTGGACGTGATATGATGAGTCCTAGATATAAACATCTTAACAGTTTGAAATAAGGACTGGGGTACATTTGAAAATTCGCCATGGAAATAGCGACCGAGTAACGATGGGCTTGCAACTTCTCGTCTATGAGATATAGGCTGTATAGTGGAAAACAAGTCATCCCCTTACAAAACAGCGTAAACGATTTTGAATTCTATCAGGGTTGGCTGGAAATTAAAAATTAGGCAGCTTCAAATCAGATATATGCTATAAATTTGTTTATGTGTTTATTCTTGAAAACTACAGCCGTTACTGTTTTATATTCATTTCTTAGGAGTGGTTTATATGCATAGAATTTTGTAAATTTGTGCTGTTTGTAGACATTTCTACGAGGGTGGTGTTTGAAAGACTTGTGCACGACAATATGGAGATTGAGTAAACTTACCTTATTCTTTATTCAGTTGAAAATTCTTTAGGATCGAATTACGATAGCAACAGTCTATGAAATTAGCTTACTACCAACTGGTCAATCTCAGACGATATTTAAAAATTTTGACTTAGTCTGTAACAAGTTTACAGTTAAGACTGAAGTCAATACACTACTACAACTCTAGAACAGTAATGTGCTTATATTCCCAAGTGATATATATATATATATATATATATATATATATATATATATATATATATATATATATATATATACAGAAAGAGAAAAGAAAAGAGATACC